AGAGAGAGAGAGAGAGTGAGAGTGAGTGAGTGAGAGGAGAGTGAGAGAGAGAGAGTCTGACTGACTGACTGATTCATTGACTCATTGACTGATTGATGATTGATATTTATAATGAGATTGTGATTTTTTACAATAGTATTACTATGAATTATATGTTTCTATCTGATATTACTTTGATTACAGAAAAAACGAGATAGAATAGCATGCTATTTTGAGAGCCAGCCTGGGGGCTGCAAGAAACCACACTGTCCCTTCCAACACCAAAATATTTTGGATCATCCTCGGGAAGAAGACATTAAGAAAATGCCAGACTGTAAGTTGATGTTATATAACAGTTGAATTGATGAGTACTTTTACATTTTAAGCAAACATATATATGGATATAATATATATGTATATACTAAAAGTAACAACAAAATACTGAGAGATACTCTTTTAAAAGGTGTAAAGCATGAAATTCAATAATGTGCATCAATGGTTCAATAAATTTCACATTGTAAATTGCACTATATAGAAAGGATTGCAAGTTTTCCCATATTTGATAAATCTTCACTTGTCTTACAATGCCCTTTGCTTGTGACTCATTAAAGTTAAAAGATATGTATGGTCAAGATATAAGATAACATTTCAGAAATGTGTGTGTGCTATTATCAGTCTGGTGTGGAAACACTTCTTGGGGCAAGGTTAGCAGATTTGTTTTTTGACCCATTGGTTGCAAATGACATGACTACATGCCATGTCCACTGTGATTTTAATCTATTAATTGTTTTATACAGAGATAGCTCCAAAAATGTTTTGTTACTAAAGAGTCAATCATTGTCTCACTTGTTTACCCTTTTCCTTGATTTTTGGCAAATTTAATAATTCTGTTGTGTTTGTTGTTTGTATTTTGTTAACATTGTATTTATCATGTCACTAATAATGATTGCAATATAGATGTTTGTAGCATTAAAAAAAAATTTTTCCCACAAATTCTCAGAATGGGGAAATCAGGTATAACTCCTTAGTGGCTGAGCACTTGTGGAGCCGTCAGTGTGCAACAAAATTAAATAAAGAACTACAGTGGACAATACATAAACCTGCAGCCAAAAGGCTCAGATCAGTCAAGGAATGTTTTAAGGTACAGAGAGATTTTGATTAGCATGTGGCATATTTAGTAATAGATGAGATGCTAATCACTTATTAATTTCCATAACTAATTACTGTCTTTTTATATCTAAACTTTGGCTTTTCAGTTTGCCAAAATTAGAATTATATAATATGCTGGTATTTACAAGTTCATTCAGATGATGAAATCATCATGTAAAATGCTGAAAAGCAGTATATTTTTGACTGTTACTCAGGGAGGAAGGGGAGCTAAAGGTTCAAAGGTGCTTTGTCAGCTAGTTGGTGGAACAGACAAAGGGAGCAAGATCAGTTATTGTTGAATCTCAAAACCAGGCAAGGTCTTTTTTACCATTCTTATATCAATTTGTTGAAAAACTACAAAGTGATAGTAAGGAATCAGTTGGGTAACCTTTCTTGACCTTATGATATAATTCAGCATGGGTGGGATGAACTTTTTTTTTTTTTTTAAGTTGAACTCAGAGCACAGATATTGTACAGCTGGTCAAATATATTTGCAGCCGCCCAAAATCGAGTTGGGATTTTATCTGGTAAAAGTAGAGTATCAAATATAACAATATGAACCCTGTTGTTTAGTAAACAATGTAAAAAAAAATCAGAACCTTTTTCATTCATATTCTGATATTCCAAATGAAAAGCTTAACCCATTGGTTGTGGTTTCCTAGATAGATGTATACAGCCGTGTGGCGATATTATGTAATATGGTGTGTAGTCCCATAGGGGTATTTATTTTATGTTCGGGCAAAGTGGGAGACCACACTCGAAGGATTTTGACATGGGTTTCCCATTTTCTTGGAAAATAAGTGAATTTATTATTTTTTTTGCTATAATTGAGATTTGAATAATAAGTTTTTGGAAGATGTCAGCCATGTTATAATTTAATGAAATAATTTGTAGCTGTTTATATTACATATTTATGGTATACTAATGCTCATGAATCTACGTAACACTGTTTGATTGCAAATGAAAAAGAGGATATACATGCATAGACATACGCATGTATGCACACACGCAGACATACGTACATCTTCTCAGCTGTAGCAGGCTCCGAAGGCGTGAACCCTTTTTGGCGGTTAACATCCCCTCGCCCATGCAAGCCTGGAGTGGTAGGCCTGGGTCCTGGCAAGCTGTAAGTGGGTTACTCCCTTAGCGGCTGATATCCCCTCGCCCGCGCAGCTCCCCAGCTGTGGCAAGCCCTGTAAGGAGAGTGCCCTCTATGGCGGTGCTGTGATTCATAAAAATGAATACAAGAAATACAAACGTTGCCATGTATGTTATTCCCATAGAAGGAGAAAGATAACAAAGTCCCATTGCTACATCTGCAAAGTCCCCCTTTGCATCTTTGGATGCTTTGAGGGCTATCAATGTAAAATACTGAAGATGAGATCTTCATATTGTATATAGGTGTAAATTGTTATTTTACATGGAAAAACATGTATATGTCCTACTACCTGATTTATTACCCATGACTGGGGAGCTGTGCAAACAAGGTGATGTTAGCTGCCAAGGGATTGGCCCCTTTGTGGCCTGCTGCAAAGGGCTTGCACGCCTTAGTTGGGTAACATTCCCATGCCCATGCAGGCCTGGGGTGGTAGGCCTGTGCCCTTGTAAGCCGCAAGGGAGCTACCCCCTTGGTGGCTGAGAGGGAGAAGGAGAGGGAGAGGAAGAGAGAGAGAGAGGGAGAGGAA